AAAAAGGAAGCTATCTGACTGAAGGAAAAAAAGAGCACAAAATATTAATCCTTTTTTGGCCATTTGCCTCTAAACAAATGCAGAAAAGAAAAAAAAAAGAAGCAGTTTTTCCATTTCATTGCTGAAGTTCATGGCATGGTCACTCATTGTGATGTTTCCTATTGTCCTCTCCTGTTCTGACTTCTACACCTTGTTTCAGTAAATACAATGTTTTCACTAGTAAGGCAAAGTGCAGCTTTTTTTTTATGGGTGCTCGCAATTTGTGGTGTCTCAGTATTTAGGAAAATACATTTTAATTTAAACATCAAGTTACAATCTTATAAGCAATTATTGAAATTTATTGTAGAATTACAGAACCCAAACACATCAATATTCCAAACACTCGGTGCCCCAAACCATTGCATCGTCCCATCCCTAACGTTATACCTTTGCAGTTGTCTTTGAGATTGACAGCCTTCGAGTGTCATGATGGCCCTCTTGCATAGCAATCCTCTCAGAAGCCTCCAGAAACGAGAAACCAATACGAACAGCCAATGTCTTTGCATCAAGACGTTTCTTCCAAATGTTCCTTATTTCACAAATACAGAGATTCCTTTTGTATTACTCTGACTCTTACGTTTGCTGTAGCATTACTGTGCAATACTCATGTGAAGTTGCAAGACTGTTTCTCTTCAGCAAATGATTTTAAATCTATGATCAGCACGGCACACTTCATCGTTGACATCTACACAGTGCTTAATGCTATAACTGTTGTGCTGACATTATCACGTAAGCCTGAAGTTTTTTATTTATATACTCCACTTATAAGTTTGTGAATTGACCAGGATGTGAAGCATAATCTACAACAATAATCTACAAGATGATGTGACGCTAGCTTCTAAAAACAGAGCCCTCTTCTCCAACCTAGTAAAAATCTAACAGCAACATCGACACCATGACATATATTTGGTATTTGGTGTGGCCGAAGAAAACCTTTTCCAAAAAAATATTTCAAGATATTCTAAAACCATATTATTATTATTATTCAAAATCTGAAAAACTTCATTGAGTAAAGCTGTGTGGTGGGAAACCAGAGCACGATTGAGATTAATTTGGTTTTATCTGCACAATCTTGTCTACGCAAAAAAAAAAGAGTGCACAACATTTGGTAATTTGAAATATTAAATAAAAATCTGTCCATAACAAAATTTCAGGCTAGCTGTGAAATTATTTAGGTTTAAACTTGTACAACATTTATCTAAAATCCACTCCAATGGTGGAAAAAGAACAGTGATGAACTGTCAAGATACAGTGTCCTGTTATAACAGACACTTGCCAACCCTACATTCTCTTTCCTGAGAAAGACAAAAGCTGGAGGGTTTGTCGTCATTTTATCATAAGGCTTCGAGCTCTGTTCTGCTCAAAACTGTAAGCAACACCTGGTGAATGCAGTTAACGAACTTGTAGGATGGAAAACGAACGTGGTTTTGGTCTCGCAGAACATTGCTGTGAGCCACCAATTTAGTCAACGGAACTGTGAAATACTGACAACATCATCTGACAGAACCACAAGAGTTTCCAATGCCAATATTCAGAGCATAATCACAAGCCATTCTAAATTTTCCAGCAGAGCACATCATATGATTGTCACCAAACAGAACACTCGCACATTCAAACCCAACGTTATAATGAGGCTAAATGATTTGGGGAAAACATCTGCTTTTTATCAGTTTTTCAGACATATATTGGTATTGATTTTGTGCTATAGTTTTTTAAAGTCACACTTTAATTCAGTATTTGCTATGGAATAAAAACTAAACGAAATGGAGTGTTACCACATGGAACATCATCAAAAGCGTGGCTATCACACAGCAAGGCTGGCATGAACCCGTAACACCACTGACACCAGAGTTTAAACCCTTCATCAGTCCATTTTGTGGCAAAAATTGGCAATGACTGAAAGTTTCAATCTACTCAAAGCAATAAAACTGAAATACAACATCAGTCTCGTTACTTAATAGCCACACCAAATATACCCTAAAGTGATGCGATTTGTTAATTGTATTGTTTCAAATATGAATTTCAATTTAAAATAGATTATGCACAATAATTTAGAAAAAAATACATAGTCTTTATGTCAGTGCTGGTGTCCCCATATGATACAGGTAATGATATCAGCATGTCCAAACACTTACTTGCACTACTGTTAACATTTTAGCATAAATTACTAAAGGCTGTGTGTTTTTAGCAGGGCAGCAACAAAGCATGCTGAGCACGATGCTAATTACACAAAATGCTGTGTCAGCCAAGAAAGCAAAGTTAAAATTAGTTATCTTACAGCAAGTATTTACTCTTCACAAGGTTGTTACAACGTTCTTTTTAAATAAAATTATGAAAACAGATTTCTCCAACAAAAAAATAAAAAAATCAGAAAATCAAAAGACTATTCAAATACTAAAACAAGCCCTAGTTTCAGTCTCAATGTTTTTCTACTAATCCTTACCCACCTAAAACTCACACACATCATTACTAGTGGATGGGTTCCTATTTTAAACAACAATCAACTTCTCTCTTTATTTTTGGGCAGCTGGTGGTGAGTTACTGGATTGGTAACATTTGAACGATTTGTCAGCAATTACGAAACCTCATGTGACCAGGCTTTGTGACCTTTCACAGGGAGGAGGACGCTGGCCCAACCGCCCACCCACCTGTGCTCAGCAGCATTTTTAGATTCCATCAAACGCCATGCAGCTAAAAGAGAACGTTTATTTTAAATTTCACATACATTCATGTGACATTTATGCGACTGTATAAGGCCAACTTAACAATGCTTTAAATACAGAAGTGGTACGTACAATAGTAACACAGAGTACAGCCACAGATGTCAATCAAGAAAGAGTTATTTGGGTCCATTTTACAAGACACATAAAAATATCTATAGATGCTACTGTTGATGGGGAAAGTTAGGCTAACATCCAGACATACATGTTCTCATTTTAAACCATACAATGTAAGCTAAGTTTACACCTAGCACCCAAACTAATTCAGCGTTTTAGGACCCCTACATCAAAGATTTCCAGAAATGCTACTGAGCCAATTTGAAAACTGTATGATTGTGGTTTAGACAGTTAGGCAGAAACTATGACTTTTGTAAGCAATGACACAGACACCTATGTTTGCTAGTTAATTGGGAATTATCAGTTAATACATGTCTTTCTCTGATTGATCACCTCCGTCTGGTGGCCCTTTTCTTTAAAGGGGGGTTGCATTTCCTTAAGCCAATCCCAATCATTTTGGGCGGCGTTGTCCCTTCAAAATTCTCATGGCGATAATTGTTTTGGTGTAACATTGGCATGAAGGAAGGCAAGCATCGTCATTAAGATGGCTAACTCACTGCAAAAACAACCAAGACTGACCTACTGCACAATCCAACGTATAGGCAAAACTTGAAAATTCTCACTGTGGCAATTTGTTCCTCAACAGTTGTTCTCATTTCCTACAGTGAAGGGGATTTTGAAAAAAAAGTAACATGTAGATTGCAAAAGGTGAGGAAAAAGCCACTTGAAATACACGGCCAATGACAGGCTTATACCCTCAGTCTACATCGAGTAAGTCAAACTACAATAAACATAATATAGCTGTATTAAAAAAAGAGAAAAACAACATGGCAGTGGTGGTGAGGGTCCCTTTAAGCCCAAACAAGGAGGAAAGTGGATTCCAGCGTGTCCTCTGTTTAACGTACTAGCTTGTAATGGCTAACCATAAACTGCTAACACCAAATTTTCTCAGACCATTGTTGTTTACATAAATGAAAAAACTGGCAGTAATTTAGTAGCTGTAAACAACTACAATTGCACTTGAGGAAATCAACATCAAAGGAGCAGCAGGGTCCTTAAAACAAGCTACTGTTCCCAGAAAATGGCTCTAAAACAAGCTAGCTTCCATATCCATGAGAGAAAAAAAACAGCCTGCAGGCTTCTTTGCTGATAAACAACAACTGCGGGTCATTACAGTGTTGTAGGTCACTTTTTTGTGAGATGATCTGAAAATGTAGTCACATCATCCTACTGAAAGTGTGACTAAGGGTTAATAGTAAATGGTAAAGGCACCATCACTGCTCTGCGTTATGAAGCTGTCAGTGATTACCACTCACAAAGGAGTATGCTACCCAAGGAAAATGCTCACAATTGGCTACTGAACTGGGACTTCAACTTCCTTCTCATCAAATCAAACGCTATTCGGGTATGAATCTGAGCCAGCCATTTAAAAACCTCATCCTTGTAATTCAAGGATCAAACATGTGCATCTAAAGCTACTTGCTGTTGCCGGTTTGGAAAAGTTTTTTTCCCAGAGCACAACAATTAAACATTGAAAAGTGTACATTAAACTGTTACGCTGTGTGTGTGAATGTTCAATGGCAGATTAGGAGACACACACACAGTCCTCACTAAACCACATATGACTTTTAAAAACACTCTATGACAGATGAGTAATAGGTCAGTTTAGCAGCGTAAACGCTTGTAGTTTACAAATAACACTTCATTATGCACAACTCTCCAGCAACAAGTTTGAAAATTGCCGCAATGGGGTCACCCTTTGATGTAATCCGCAGTTGTTTTGTAAATCATTCAACCTCTGGCATGGCCATCGATCACCTGTGACTACACAAGCCTTTACTTCCAGATGAAATCAATGTGTTGTTGGCCCAAGACAATCAAACTCTCTCATGTTTGACTCCAAAACAACAACCATGTGCCCCAACTGAAGTGCCTTTGAGCAAAAACAACGGCCTCCCTACCTGGTACTACTCTTATCTTAAGGGAAGACAGACAGACAGACAAGGCAAAGTGGAGTCACACCGTTTCAGGTTCACATTAAAAAGGAATATGACAAAGGCACTACAAGATGAGGCCTATACACGTCTGTCACTGCGCCCATAGTCTGCAGGGGAAAAGCTGGCACATTTTGCCTGACAGGTTACTTTATTACAACGCAACAAAGAGGATATAAAGTGCACTTACGTAACGTCTCAACTTTTTTTCAGGAGGAGACTTTCTCAGCCACCCTGAACACACCACCTCTCCCCCACTCATTTCTGCTCCTTCCTCGCTCTCTGGCCGGAGTTGGAGCGCAGATTGTCGTTTGGCTTCGTTTGTTTTTGGGAGTGTCTTCTACCTGAATACAAAATAAAAAGAAAAATACATGAAAAAAAAACAAAACACACAAGTTGACACGAAGCTCAGACGGTGAAGTTGGAAGAGGAAAAGTTCAAATGTAGTATTGTGTTGTTTCTGAGAGCAACAGACACCGTCACTCCTTCGAAAGTCGACTCACCGACAAGGCGGCTCTCTGTGAAATGCACAGACCAGATTTCCACGAGTTGTAGTCAAACAAACGAGAGTATCCTGAGCCTGAAGTGAACATAAACCTCCTCGGCACCGCCTTTTGTACAAATATCAACGGTGAATTGTGTATTTTTTTGGCTCAAACTGAAGCGCTGTGGGGGCAAAGAGAAAAAAAAAAAAAAAACAGGCAACTGAAAGTCGCTAAGTTTTTTTTGTTGTTATATGTAACGTCTCATGCTAATTCCCGTCAAAGTGTGGAGCGATTCCCGGTTGGCGAGCTCGGATGTAAATGTCCCACAGCGGACCGGTGCATAGTTGTCGTCTGGTGCGCAAATTAAACCAATCTCGACCGTAAACACAGTGGTTTCGCCGAGCTTCCCTACCAGTTTACTCCCATGGTTCCTTAATTGTGATTGACAGGGTGGCTCCGTCTTTCCCTAAACTCACCCTCTTCTGGAACATGGCGGCGTCAAGCTAACGCCCGCGACGACGCAAACACCGGACGCCCTGGGATCGTGTTTTCAAAATAAACCGCATGGGTTTAATAAAGTTGAAGCAACTACCCAACATGTACCTCATGTCAGCAAGGAAACTTGCAGTGTAAGCTAAGTTCAATGTGACGCAGCCATTTCAGTATAGGCTAACTGAGATTTAACTGCATCGACTGTGTATGGGACATTTTAGAGCTATAGCTAGTCAAACAAATTCATAAAAGCATAATTTTTAAAATTAAAACTATATTCTCATGTATTTGTTTTTTGTTTTTTGTTTTTTTACTTTATTTTATTATTATTATTTCTTTTATTGTATTTCTTTATTTGGCAAAAAAACAAACAAGCAAAAACAAAAAACAACTGTTGAATTGTAAATATGGAAATCTTTGTATTGTATTCTTTTTTTCTTGCTTGCTTTTTTACTTATTTTTTATATTTATCTCTCTTTTTTGTATATTCTTATGTAATTATTTAGTTTGTGCTACTGTCATAAAACAATTTCTCTTGTGGATCAATAAAATGTATCTAAGTCTAAGTATTGGCTACAAACTCTTTCTTGAAACTAATATTTACCTTCGCAAGCAGCGTCACCTCAACCTGATTGGTATTCATTTGGAAATTTATTATGAAAGTTACAGCCGGAAGTTGTGTTCGTGTCACCGCAGCAGCTTAGCTAGTCGTTTAGAGGACGAGCTGGGGAGGCGGCGGCGTGCAGGGAAAACTGTAGAGCTTCAACCATGGGACATGTAGTTCAAAAATCGTCTGTGTCCCGTCCCAAAAAATATGTCAAAATAGTGTTGGGCGGTTTGCTAGATGAAACATGACGCAACGGGGCTACATGCGCCTCTGGGTGATCACAAAAAGTGGCCTCAGACCGCTGAAGAAGAGACAAAGAAAGGAGCCACCTCAGCGTGACAGTCTCAAAGGTCCCAACAAATCATTGCACGTCTAAACTACACTATCCACAATGCGTGTGGGATTCCCTGAAGAAAACACGCCATGAAAGCATGTTTGAATAAGGAGAGTCCCCACTCAGTGATCTACTCATAGATATTAGTTACTTTGTGCCAGCTTGTATCTCTCTAAATGTATTCGGATGTTAAATGTATTTATAGGGTAGATCACACCTTGTTTACACAATTATATAATTCACAATATAATCTGTATTTTTTTTGTTTTGTTTAATTACTAATATACCTGAACATCTAATCATCATTTATACTACATGCTCATTTATTATTTGAACTGTATGGTAATCTAAAACGCCACCATTTACCAGCAGTATCTTACAGTCCAACACCACACCAGTTAGTAAGCAGTGACTCTTGCAAGACTGATATCGATCTGTTCAACCAAATCTGATCAATTTCCCGGGATGAACAGATCATCTATAACTTCTCCAATCCACTGGTGAAGGCATGTTTCCCCTGCACTTAGAATGGTATCTGAGGAATCTTATTGGAATGCTATTGTAATGGTAAACACTCGCCCCAGAGGATGTTCCCTGTTACTCTCTGATTAATGGCTTTGCCATTGTACACACAGTGTACCTCTTTCAACAGCCTCGGTATTGATGAAGAAACTGAGAGCAATTAAAGGCTGTAGACACAATACACTGACTCCAGTTAATGAATTCTTTTGATACCGTATATGCAGCATTACTTTTTAGGCATTACAACATCAAGTATCTTATACCAAGGTCTTAATGCACCAGAGCTCAAGAAGTTATCAAATGCTTTCAGATATAATATACTGTTTTTGTGAAGCTGTGCATCTGTTCTGTTACAGGTACACACATCTTTAGTTCATGTGGACTCGATATTATCCATGTTTTCGACTCAAGAGATCTGGGCTGCAGTGTGTAATCTCTCATGAGTTCCAGATTATCTGCAAATTATGTAAAATACTAAAGTAACATTGAAGCAATGAAGAATTTTTGAATATACTTCACCCCAAAGCAAACATTTCCACAAACATGAGAAGAAAAAGTGTAATGGTTTGGTTGATTAATAATTGAGAGTCATTGATTTTTCCAGATGCCCCTTGAAAGCTCTGCTGCTGCTGCAGAGCTTTTGCCACATCAATTTCAAATTAGTAAAAATGACACCTTTACAAATAATTTGCTTTTGCTGCATTGCGAGTGTCATTTGTTCCAGGCCTCTGGGAACAACAAGTGATTGCATGTGATTTCCCAGTTCCCTTTTCAGTCGCTGGTTTGTCTATACTTACTTCCATTTGTGTAAAACTTTTTTGCAATCAAAGCAGAAAAAAGGATATATGCGTGTTTTGATGAATTGAAACAACATTCTGTTCTGTATTTTTTTAAACAAACAAAGCCACCTACATACTTGAAATGTTCATGTTTTAGAACAGTGCCTCGAAGGTTGCAGTCACAATAACCTGCTAAAATTACTGTGGAAGTTTTCATCATCATTCTCATCATTTAATTTTAAAAAACAAACAAAAAAAACCCCCAAACATATTATTTGCAGCTTGAAATCCATGTTCCCACACTTACAACTAGCTGCCAGAAGAAAACTGGCACCGGTGATGATGAGGTCTGTATGTACTGCAAGAAAAACCGAAATGATGTACAGTTGGTCTTTTCGAACATAAATTCAAAAACATGTCAGTGTGTTTTCACACCACACTGTAGTACCAGAGGTGATTTTGAGTGGTCGATATTTTCTTCACACTGGAAAAGCTGCAATATAGAAATCTGACAATGTGTCACGCACATAGGAGTGCCCTTCAGCATTACAACTACTTTCTTGCTGTTTGGCTGATTTCCAAATATTTGAATTTCAAGTAACCAGAAACCCATCTGCTGCTTTATTTTCTTTATCTTCTGCATCTCATTTTGACTGTTTGTCTTGTTAAACTTTATTATATTCATTAGTCTCCAACATCTGCCCACCTCTACATCAACACACCACTGTAAATAACCTACCTGGATAAGCACGACAATACAACAAATACTGATCTGTTTTTACTGTTAGGAAAGGTGAAGCCATTTTTTATACTAGCACAGTACAGCTGAGGTGTAAAATGAAACAAACCCTTCTTCAAAAAGCTGCATTAAATATCAAAAGGCACATAAAATCTGCATGAACACAAACGCTTCCCTGAATGATCAAATCAGAGGAATACATTAAAGTATGCTGTCAGTTACCTGTTGTGAACTCTCTTATAACACCTAGTTCTTACTTAAGTTGTGTAGATCACACCAGCTAACAATGTAAGAGCAGCTTCAAATATTATAGATATTTAAAATACCTTTATCTTGGAAAATGTTCCATACCATTTAGATTTCCAGATATATATATATATTTTGTATACCGTAAATATTCAGAAATGTTATTTTCAGGTCATATGTACATTTATTGCATGTGATATGAAACCTATAAAACAACAAAACACGCATCAAAAAGATTCAAACATTCTGAAAATCAAACTCCACAGCTCATGAAGAAAAGCTGCATGCAAATCAGAGGAGTAAACAAAGTTTGTCAGCTGTGTGTTCAGAAGGATGACAATCAAAAAAAATCTGTTTATCTTACAGATGAATTTTTTTCTAAATGATGCATCAACTTGCACATTGTATGTGTGTGTTTACCTGTGTATGAGGTAATATCATAAACACTCAAACAAGCCAAAAAAAAAGTATGAGCATGTTGTAGTTAAACCGATTTGATATATTTATCACTGTAAAAGTTTATTAGAAGACTAGTTTTGAAGTTGCTTGAAAATATCAAATAATAATTTGCCATGTTTCTCAGATTTAAGGAAGAGAATATATTTGCATCAATGAGTATTTACCACCTCGAGTTTTAAAATTAAGAGGATTAATGAAAGATTACAATGCAGAGATGACAAAAAAATAATCAAAATAAATTAAACAAAGAATATCAGATGATGACTTAGAGTGGCAAAAAAAACTATTTTAGTCAAAAACTTAAAGATTAAATCAAACAGAGGATAAGAGCCAGTGGTGATGCTCTGTGCATGTGTCTTCTTAGATCATCTCAGCGCTCTTGCCATGAGGTTATATGCTGTACACGGCATGACACTTCAGGTTCCTGTCCAGGACTCCCTCTGAGCCAGTTTATCTGGGTTTCCTGCAGTATTTTTCCTTTATTTTTTTCAGAAGACCAGTCTACTAATGGTATTGAAGCCCCCGCCTCCTCCTCCTCCACCAGATGGGCCACAGCTCCCCGGTGGGTTATTGTCATCTGAACCGTTGGGCCTGAATGAGCAGGAGGATGAAGGGGCCTGGAGAGCCTGGGTCCGAGCGTTGAGCTCCTGCTCCTATTGACAGCGCAGAGGAAAGAGAAATGTTTCTAAGTTAGACTGTTTTTAAGACTCAAACCTCTACATAAACTATGTTACACCATAGGGTTGATTTAGAAACAGTGTAGCTGTATGTGGCTGACAGTGCATCAGAGGCCTCACTTCACATTATTACAGCACCCCCTAGAGGAGATTTACTTTGGTTACTTATACAAGTGGAATGTCAACACAGCACAGCTCAATGACTCGTGAAATTACACCTCACGTCTTATAACAGGACAGCTCAGCTTTGGCTTCAAGTGCAGTTTAAAAAAAAAAAAATTCTGTACCTCTAAGTTATCTGTTAAAGTACCGTCTGTTTTCTCTCCACCACTTTCCACCTGAGTGAATCTTTGACTTTCATAATAACCTCACGCTTAGGAGGTCTATTTGTTACAGGCACAGTGTTTCTACCTAAATATCCTCTGAACCTCTACACAGCAGATTAAATACTTGTTAATGTTCAACCCCACTTACCTGTAAATACAGCTTGTTGTCTTTGATAATAGCATCCAGTAGCTCTTTTTGCAGGGGAGGCTCAGCACTCACTCTCATTCCATTTGCCATTAG